TCCTTCCTTCCTTCCTTCCTTCCTTCCTTCCTTCCTTCCTTCCTTCCTTCCTTCCTTCCTTCGTTATATACTGTGATAATGTGTGGTCATTGATGACATACAATCAAAAATGCACTAGATGAACTGTCTTTAATCATGTTAAACACATCTAATCTTGATGAAGTGACTAATAATGTGGCTTCAGTGGCATGTCATATATTTGTTATAAAGACATAGTCCAGATATTTCATGATGAAAAAATTTTTTACTGTAATCTGGAAAATTAAAATATTATCTTTAAAATTATTTTGCACTTAATGAAGAGCTATTCTATTTTAAAACATTATTGTAAACAAGTTCTGCACTTTCAAACATTGATAGTCATAGAGTATTATATAATATGTATGTATGTGTATGTTATATATGTATATATACACACATACATACATATATTTTTAAATTCAAAAAAATAAATTTAAAACTCAGAAATGAAACAAACATTATTGGAAGCAACAATAAAATTATTTCCAGTTAAAGTAATGACTTTGTGTCCAAGGGTCACTGTTTTTTATTGATTTGAAAAAGAATTTTATACAGTCAGTTCACTGTTTCACTTTATTAGTTGATTTTATTCATTTAACTTTTACTAAATTGACCAATTCTTTGGTTGAATCAGTCCAGTTGAGTTTCTCTTGAGCCTTTGCCTGTCACCTAATAATCGATATGCATCCTCCCTGCTTTGCTCATGAACCCCCTTTGCTCAGGAAAACTGTGTCTGTGGCTATGAAATGATGCATGCCCTTCTCTTCCAGATCAGCACTGGTGATCTTTCTGTGCATTAGGAATTTATTAACTGTGAAAACTGTAGTTATAATCTGTTCAGTTGGCAGAGACAGTGGATAGATCACAGATTTCAAATGGAATCCACACATTTTGAAGGTTACATTACAGACACACAGATCATAATGATGTCGGCATGCCTCACTTAACCATTGCTGGTAAAACACAAATAAGTTCAAAAGAAGTTTCTTGAAAAGAAGCCTAACCAATGGATGTATGTGCATTCATGCCATTTGCTGATAATTTTGTGTGCGTAGACTTAGGATTCACTTAGGTCTCTTAAGTCTTACTCTGGTTTATGCCTAAAATGCTAAGTAGGCCCATCTGCAGAATTGAGACATCTGAACAGACGATGAAAAAGTGCACGTTTGGGCCAGGCTGAACAGCCGTCATTTTTCATTTGATCAAATTTGAGCTACAGATCTTAGATCACACATGGGACACAGCCTTTGGCTACTCAGGATGGAATGTATTTCAGATGGTGCAGTTGATTTACGAGAATAAGGTGTCTGAGATGCTGCTCCTTTAGCATCCCATCAGCTATCTTACTGCAAATGCATGTTGGGCTAAGTATCCCTCTTTGAATAAAAGAACAAACATGGTAGGCCAAAAGTAGGTTTACAGTTGCTTGTATGGAAGATAATACAACAATTAATAATACAAGAGTGAACTCTGTATAGACCACTGTACTTACTTTTCTGACATCAGAATTTCTTAATGTTATATGGTCAGTTCTGTGGACCAATTTATGATAGAATTTCTCTTTAAAGGTGAAGTAAATTGCTTTTCCAGAACTATCTACAAAACTGGCTATATTTTATAGAAATGAAAAGGTATTAAAGCATTTAAAAATGTTAATGGTTTAATCATTTCAGCTCAGAGAAAGAGGCTCAATGTTTAGAGTTAGTTCTTATGAATTCTCATTTTAAAAAGTCAAATGCAAGTAGTTATATTGACAAAAGAGTGAAAATTTCAAGGAAGAGATAGAGTTTTAAAAATCAGTCTATTAGATAATATTTGACTTTTAGGTAACAATATTATAATATGAATTTCCTTTCTCTTTAATAATGTGTATGAATCTTTCCCCCATGGCATCTGTTCTAAATCAGTCTATTTTCCCATTGCTTTTAAAATCAGGTCAAGGTTAATCTCCTATTCCATGTTTGCTTTCCAGGCATTACTCATGAAGCTGCTGATGAAAAGGTGATTTTTGGCATTGAATTTAATTCAACCTTTCTGGAATGTATACCTAAATCCCAACAAGCATCTATTAAGTGGTATATCCAGCGATCAGGAGAGGAACACCGAGAGGAGGTAAGTCACCGTCATCAAAAAAGCTCTCCTTGAGGAAAATGGTATAAAACTTAAATCAGGTTTTGGTTGTGAGGATGTTCAAGTTTTAGTGCCATATGGTGCTCTCATCACTATTTGATAAAAAGGAAAATAACAGCTTATACTCACTAACGCCAAAGGTAACAATGCTTTTGAGATAAGAAGAGCCTAATTTAATATAAATGTGCTAATAAAATATATTTAAAAGCAGGTTGAGTGCTTAAAAAAGAAATTTGTATGTTTTTGAATTTTTATTTTTTATAGAATGCCTGTATTTTAGAACAATTCCCTCACCAAGCACAAGAACACAATATTTCCCTTCACTGTAGCACAAGGACTAAATTTTAGTTTGAATTCTGTTCAGTTTAGAACCTAAAATGAAACATGTCAAGTATGTATAAAAAAAAGAAAAGAAATATATACCTTATGATAGTTGGATAAGTATCTGGGCATATGTACATTTTCACTTTTATGTATTAAAATTAAACCTACAGAGAGAAAAGTAATATGAATGTTCTATTCGTCTTTTTACTTTTTTCTGGTCTAGTCATTCTAGCACAAATGTGTGATTGAAACACATTGCAAGAGATTTTGTGAGGTCTAACAATGTGAATTTAAAGGGATGAGTTTGAGTAGTCTGAAAAATACTGTATTAATATTGTTTGAAAATCATGAAACAAAGGTTAATTGGCAGAATATTTTTTCTATTTCAGTGCCTAAAAAAAAAAATACCACTGCTACTCTCTCTAGAGTTATAAAATTCCTAATATTAAACTAAGGACACTGCAATGAGTAATGGAATGAATACAGGGTTCAGAATTCCTTTGGTCATATCACTGAGCCCCTGGGGGCCAGAATTTTATAACAAGATAAATTCAAAAGTTACTGTGAAAATAAAATGGGAAAATACATACAGGAATGTGAATTTCAAAGCAAAGTGTAAAGCACGCATATAAAATTGCAGATACTCTCAGCGAGGATGTGTAAAACAGGAAATAGCACTGATCACATGCACAGCCTGACTGCCGAGGATTTATGAGCAGGTTGTAACTTCTCTAACACTCAGTTTCTCTGTCATATCAGGAGATGACCAAATGTTCTCTAAAATACCAGCCTCCTTGATAGTCTATAAACATTTAAAATAATATATGTAATCAGCTAAACATTAGTATAGGGCAGTGGTTCTCGGCCACAGGGCACTTTGCTCTCAGAGTGTTCACATTTGGCAGCATTTTGGTTGTGACAGCCTG